TCAATACAAGTATGCTTTTTTTTTTAAATTATTCAAATCGGACAATCCGTTTTCTCAAAAACTGAATTGCCGTTTATGGCTCTTTTTGCCCGGTAATTATTCAAATTAGTTGAAATCCCGTCCTGAAATCGTCTAAGAAATTTTGTATCCGAATATACACACATACATACATCCATTTTTCTAACAATAAGATATGCCAAAATGTTCAGAAACCTTCGAAACATAGATATACTATAAAAATTTTCTTTTTCGTTTTTTTTGCGAGTACTATAACTTATCCTACAGGAAACAATGACTGTTTATACATCATTTTTTCTCTATTTTAAAATAATACCGTTAAAAATGCCACAACTTTCTTTTATTTGTAAGACAATAGTAGCGGACCTTTTTACCTGCGGACTTTTAAGCCTCGCATTATCCTACATAAATGCATACATAGATATCTCACAGGCGATTACAAAACTTTACCTAATATTGACAAATATTCAAATAATATTATATAATTTTATTTATTATATGCAACAATTTTTTATTATATCTAAACCAAAAAAATATCTAAACTAATACCAATAAATATTTTGCAAAAAACTCTACGTTGAATACTTGCCAGTCCTTATACATGTGTTATATAACGGAACTCACATAAATCAAAAAGGTCGAACAGAACGTCGAGTATGGCTGGGTACGGTTGTGCTAGGGGACGGTAGTGACAGTCGTCATGGCAACGAAACTATAGTCTCTCGGGCAAGGGTGCAAGGGGAGAGAGAGCGGCAGTATGCTTGTTCGAACACGTTCCCATTATTGTGTCAGTGTGCGCCCGATATTAACATAAGCTGGAGACCGCGTTGCTTTCAAACAGTCAAAAGTGAGTTCTTTTTTCTATATATATACAGTGCTGGATTTACAGTAGGGGCAATCGGGGCTACTGCCCAGGGCGGCAAATTTTTGGGGGCGGCAAAATTTGGATAGTGAGAAAAAAATTCTATACAATATAATCAAATTTTTTTACCAACATGTTTATATTTCAAGAAATATAATTAACAAAACATAATACGATTGCAATGCAAAATTTGGGTTGAAATAACCAATTATTAAAATTTATTATTTTGCCTTGCCTCCCTCTCCGAACGTAAATTATCAAATTGGTTAATAAGTTATTAAATTTGGCAATTTGGCTAATATAAGGATCCGTAAACAAGCTGAAAGTTTAAGAAAAATATTTACTTCAGTTCTCGAGCCCTCTTAAAATGACGAATTTGTGCACTTCCAAGCTTATAGCGTCGAAAAAAAATTTAAACTAGTGACTCATGGCATTGTGCCTTAAGACAAATTATTGAAACATCCCGTACTAAAAGTTACATTTTATAAAAAGCTTTTGAACTTTTTGCAAAGCAATCGCGCTGCGTAGCTGTTTCAGAGAAGAAATATCGAAATTCAATTACCATTTTTCGTAATTGCCTTTGCCAAAAACTAATCAGCACGTCTCCCCATCAATACAAATCTAATATTTTTTAATTATTTAAGTCGATTTCGGGAACACGGATCAACCGATTTAAATGATTCAATTCCTATTTATAAGGAGACGTGCTGATTAGTTATTGGCCAAGGCAGGTCCAACTGTTTTGAAGATACGGGCCAAAATGCCAAAAATGATAATTCAGTTTTTGAGAAAAGAAGCGTCCAATATCATTCAAAAAAATTTACAGCATAAATAACTGCTTAAATTTGTGGGAGGCAGGTTTAGCGGTTTCGATTATACAATAAAAAAAATTGTAAAAGAAACATTTGGTGGACAAAAGTGATCACAAAACATATGCACATCAAATTATCAGATATTTTAAAAATATGTTAATAAGTATAAATTTTGTTTACATTTATATGCGTTCTGTAACATTGTTTATCCGTTAGACTGCGACGCGGCGTTTACGCGCTTCTATATTTTGTCCCTACGCAGCTGAAGCAGCGCGATTGCTTTAAAAAAAAGTTCGAAAGTTCGTAAAATTTCAGGGATGGGGCGGCATTTTTGTCGGTGCCCCGGGGCGCCAAATTTCTAAATCCGGCCCTGTATATATATATAGCATTATTAGTTAATTAGTAGTTAATTAACAGCAATTAGTTTTTGCGTGGATAATTTAGCTTATTCATGACGATTATTTATTTTCAAAAGTGAGCGTTGGATACGGTTGTGACATTTTGTATTTATAGTCGTGTCCCTAGACAATATTAGAATAAGATTTCTTCATATAGACGTTTCTCTCACCCGATTTTTACGTTCAGAAGGGATAGTTAAAGGGTTCTATACTCAGAAGTGAAGCCACTGCTATTGGCATTCAAATTAATGGCGCAAAATTTGAAATAAATATTAATGAATTTCAATAATCGGGAAACTAAATTTGACATTATAATCGTATTATTCTTTGCAATAATACAATAATAACAAAAATATACTAAATAATATTATATTATAGCTAGTGGGGTGTATGGCATCGTGCCTTAAGGCAAATTGCTTTGACTTTCCGTACCGTAACGAAATGTTCGTGGAATACTGAATATCTTCAAATATATTGTTATTAATATTGTAACATTGTCTAATATTTATAAGAATTATATAAACTGAATTGCAAAGTTGAAATTATTTGTTTAAAGTATATTAGAACTATAGTCAGAATTAAAAATAACATCTAAATTATTTTCGATATACAAAAAAATTTTTTTTTGAAATAAAAAAATTGAAACAAATTTTTTTTCCAAAATCAATTATTTTGTTAAGACAAGCAGAAAGTTTTTTGAATCATTCAAATCGGACGATTAGTTCTCTCAAAAACTACTATTTTTTTACATATTTAGCTCCGTATCTTCGATATGGCTGGTCTTTGCCAAAAACTAATAAACACTTCTCCCAATCATTACTAATTGAATGTTTTTTAAATCATTCAAATCAGATACTCCGTTCTCTCAAAAAGTCGATTTCTATTTTCTGCACTCGTTGCTCCGTATCTCCGAAACGGCTGGACCTGCCTTCGCCAAAAACTAATCAGCTCTTTTCCCTATCAATAGATATCGAATGTTTTTTGAACCATTCAAATCGGTTGATCCGTGCGCCCGGAAACGTGACTGGAAATTTGTATCCATACATACACACACATCCATTTTTTCTGAAGTATGCCAAAACGTTCAGAAACCTTCAAAACGTCGAGAAATGTAAAAATTTTCAATTTCGATTTTCGGCCATTACAATAACATTCTATCTTAAATCATTTATTTTGAAATATTTTAGAAATTCTTAACTTTTTTCAAAGCATTCGTACTTCTTTCTGCATAAAGACGAAATATAGAAGCGCGTAAACGCCGCGTCGCCGTCTAACGCGTGAACATTGGCACGGAACTCATAGGAATATAAAGAAAATTTATACTTATTATCAAAATCTCTATAAAATATCTGATAATTTGATGCGCATATGTCTAATGTTCATTTTTGACCGCCAAATGGCATTTTTTTTACTTTTTTATTAGATCTCCGAAATTGCTAGACCTGCCTTCATAAAAATTTGATCAATTCTTTATCTTGTCAATAGAAGGAAAATGTTTTTTGAATTATTCAAATCGGGCGCTCCGTTCTCATAAAAACTGATTTACCATTTTTGGCACTTTTTCCCTATATCTGCGGAACGGCTAGACCTGCCTTCGCCAAAAACTAATCAGCACGTCTACTTATCAATACGAATCGAATGTTTTCTAAATTATTCAATCGCTTCATCCGTGTTCCCGAAATCGTCGATGAAAATTTGTATCCGCACACACACATACACGCACATACACACACACATACATCCATTTTTTCTAAGGTATGCCAAAATGTTCAGAAACCTCTGAAACGTAAAGATATATAAAAATTTTCATTTTCGATTTTTTTGCGATTACTATAACTTGCCCTACGGGAAGTTAAAAATTAATGAATTTTAATAACCGGGTATGTGAAACTAAATTTGACAGTAAAATCGTATTATGCTTTGTAATAACACAATAATAACAAAAATATACTAGATAATATTATATTATAACAAATATATAATCAAATCCAAATACAATTCAACAAACACACTGCCGGTTTAAATATACATCACATCTAATCTACTAGAATATTTTCTACACTTTTTCTATTTAATAATATAAATATTTAGTGAAATTTAGTGAATATTACATTATAGTGTTAGTACATTACATGGCCTGTCATTCTTAACTATCATTAACTAATAATCATTCTGTGCAAAATTTAACATTCTTGAGCAGTTCATTTTCTTTCGAGTATATTCAGATCCGTGTTAAGTAAACAGCTAGAAGTTTTCTAAATATTTTGTCTTTCTTGTAGAAGCTAATACTTGATTTCTTGCATAACTTCCTACAACTGATATCTTTACTTAAAATGTAATATGATTAGACTAATTTGTCAATGCACTGCGTAGTATTTATGTTCTGTATATTAGTATATTCAGATTCATGTGATGTGGTAATCTTAACTTTAAACAGCTGGAAGATTTCTAAATATTTTGTTTTTCTTATAGAAGCTTATACTTGGTTTCTTGCATAACTTCCTACAAGTGATATCTTTACTTAAAATGTAATATGGTTAGACTAATTTGTCAATGCACTGCGTAGTATTTATGTTCTGTATCTGAATTTGAAGCTGTTCTATACATTTTGCCAAAAGGGTATGCATTTGAGAGCAATTCTTGATAAAATCTTTATTAACAAATGTACAAACACCAACAAACAAGAATCACCATTTTGTCAACTGATACAAAAATAACATTGACGTTTCTTAGTAACCAACGTAAAATATTTGACAATACTTTTTTATCGGCTCACTAGCACTAAATTTGCGACTACCATAAGACCTCTAACTAATCCTTCTGAACGCGGATTCTGTTCTGAGATAGCAGCCCTGGTAGTGACATTTTGTGTTTATAGTTGTGACATTTTTCTGTTTCTTTTGCTTTAAGATGCCCAGAAAACGCCAGCGTAACACCGAAAGAGGGCAATATGATATTAGCAAATTTGAACAAGCTTATGATGAAGTAAAACGCGGGATTTCTATACGAAAGGCTGCAGGAACGCATGCACTTAATCGAATGTCGTTATTGCGATACATTCGCAAACGTGATGAAGCTGGTGCCGATCCCGATGTGAGCAGCATCAGTATGGGCTATGTTGCTCACAACAAAGTATTCTCTACGGATCAGGAACAACAACTGTCAAAATATATCACAAGTTTCGCCGAAATATGTATAGGCCTATCCAAAACAGAGATACGACAGCTGGTATTCGATTTCACTACAAAATACAATCTAAAGCGACCTGATGCTTGGGCTAGGAATAAGATGGCTGGCGAGGAATGGCTCCGTTCATTCATGAGTAGAAACCCATCACTGTCTGCGCATGTAGCTCAAGCTACAAGTTTTTCAAGAGCTACAAGTTTCAACAGAACTAACGTGGAAGCTTTTTATAAAAATTTGCAAACTATTCTGGACAGTCATGCATATGAGCCACAGGATATATACAATGTTGATGAAATAGGTGTTACTACCTCGCAACGACCTGATAAAGTAGTGAAAAAACGTGAAATACAGCAAGTGGGAGCTGAACCTGCCACATTAGTCACAGTCGTTTGTGCAGCCAACGCTTTGGGAAACGCAATCCCTCCTGTTTTTATATTTCCGGGGGCTTTTTATGAAGACAATTTTGTCGAAAGCGGACCAGTGGGTTCAGTTGGAACTGCAAATTCTGCAGGCTGGATGCAGGATGCAGCATTTTTGGTATTTCTTGAACATTTCAAAAAGTTTTCTAATGCATCTTTGACACATAAAGTCTTACTGGTGCTGGACACTCATTCTTCTCATGTTCATATTGATACAATAGATTTTTGCAAAGAAAATGGCATTACCTTGCTGTCATTTCCTCCACATTGCTCGCTCAAACTGCAGCCATTAGACCGATCTGTCTTTGAACCATTCAAAGAAGCTATTAATACAGCATGTGACGTATGGATGCAAAGTAATCCTGGCAAGATAATGTGTATTTATGATATACCAGGTGTTATCAAGATTGCGATGCCTCAAGCTTTTACGCAAACAAATATTCAGACAGGTTTTATCGAAACTGGAATTTATCCGTTCAATTGTAATGCATTCCCGGAAGTTGAGTTTTTGCCATTTTTTGTATCGAATAGACCAAACCCTGACATAACAAAAGGTTCTTTGAAAGAAACTGGTCAGGTCCAAAGAAAGATTCCACAATCGGCATCAACATCCAAACCAAAACAAAACCTCTGTATGTTTTGTGGAAGCCCATATTCTGGAAAAAAGGGTGGCGAAAAATGGATTCAGTGTCAAGGAACGTGCGGTTCCTGGTCCCACGTTGAGTGCGCGGGTGATTCTTACATTTGTCACTACTGCAATGATTCTGACTAGATCTCAGTATATTGATACATAGTTACTGTAATATTTGACCGATCAATTAGTTGTTTATGCGACTGTGATAATTAATAGTTAACATTTTGACTGATTGAAAAAAATACTGTTATAAAGACACTAATCGTGGCGGTGCCTTATTACTTATAAAAAGAAAAGTGATTCCAAAGATACATTTTATTTCTAGTTAATTTTGTTTAGAAAATTAGGTAATTATTATAACACTTTATGTATATATACAGTAGAATCCGCTTAGTATGACATTCAAGGGACGGCGAAAAATGGTCATACTAAGCGGTCGTCATACTAAGCGTACTGAAAAAAAAAACAATTTTTGGCGAATATGTTATTAATTTCGGTAATTTAATACAAAAATTAAGGTAAAAAAATGTAAAAATATAAACAAATATAGAACTTTACTAATTCAGTAAATTAGCAAATCGCTTCCAAATTTCGAACACCAAGAATGAGCCTACTTATTTTTTGCACGAGGTCGTCCATGCCGGAAGTTGCCAAAGTTTCCATAGCGCGAATCTCGTGCAACATAGAGACCTGAAGGTATGTAGCGACCTGACACACAAGGGTAGTTCACAGTGGTGCCATACCATAACAATGTGCAATGAAAAACATTAACTCTATGTTATCGGAGGTGTAAAATCATGTCGGTCATTATACTTGGACCAAATTTTTATATATGTATATATATATATATATATATATATATATATAAGCTTTGTTTAAATGGCTATTATAATAATAATTTAAAGAATTAAATTCATATTCAATGTGTCATATGAAACTAATACATTGAAAATAAGCAAATATTTTGTCATTTATTAGTGGTTTTGTTTGATGACGGTTTTAAAGTCGCTTACCTTGTAATGATGTCCCATAGTTTTAAAACTGTTATGTGCGGTTACACCTTGCTCTTCAACCTTTTGTTATGAAATTTGCTACTACCAATTAAAAAAAAAAATTAATATGAATTCCATAGATTTTTATGGTGTGAAATCTAATGTTTTTCTCTATTTTAACATATGTTTTAGATATTTCTGTATCTGGATTTTAAATTTAAGAAAATAAAAAATATATAGTATGTATATTGCTTCTTTATTTTCTGGGTGGTTAGCCACATGCATAATTTAATAATATAATATGAGAAATAACCTTCAATGAATTGTTCAATTCAAAAATTTAAATTTTAGTCTAAAAAGTGCTTTTCCTTGTACACAATCTTGGAAATTTGCTTCATAATCCATAATTATAACCATCTTGTGTTCTATATCTTTAATATTCAACCCTGTACACATATGTTTCATCAAGTTTAACAATTTCTAGACTGTTGAGTGTATGCATGAGGGCAATGCAATTTATGCAACGACGTAATGTAAGTGTTTAACTGTGATATAAAGCACATATGGCCGTAAAATACCATATAGTTTAGAACCAGTCGTGTTTTGTTTTTTGCCCGTCCAGATCACTTTACAAAAATTATACTATTTTCAACAAAACATGAAAACTACTTGCGTCTTTTTTTTGGTTATTGTTAGTAATTGCAGTTGACAAAAAAGCACGGCAGATAAGTTTCACGCATTTTGTACTTATCACTAAATTAGATTAGGGGCACACCTACGTACTAGTAAACTTTTTTTTATTGGTTTTATAAGACACAAAAAAACGGATCGTGCAACGGTTAACCAGAATCACCAGCCACACCCCTAGCTTTTAAAATTATTTTTTTAATTTTTATTTTATTATATATGGCACCAGAAAGGGTCAAGTGTCTAACTTATACCCTTTTAATATTTATTGATCTAACAATATTAAGAGCCGTATAATTTTAAATGTAATATTAGCATAATGTGCAGTTTATTTTTTCCGCACCAGTTGTTTACAAAAAAAAAAGCGAGACTAATTTATTTATCCAATTGTTATATCATAATATTGTGGGTTTTTTAATTTTTAACAAACTGTAATAGGGCAGGACAGAGCACAAAGGTCCAATATGAATTTGAGCAATTATATTGTGAAAACAAAACCAATTATATTACAACATATAATACATATCAAACTAACAATCATCTGACTATGTTCAGTAAAACTCCTAGCTAATTCATTATCGTAGAAATATGTTTAATTGCTGTTTTTCGAAAATGTGAAACCTGGTTCTTTTTGCCCTATGAGCGGCGATTTTACGAAATAATAGCTATATTATTCATCTAATGCACAATATAAGTTTCTTGGAAACATTTTTTACAGAGACAAGATTGATTATAACTTTGATCTGGTATTTTGTCAGAAATATTTATCAGCAGGGTTGGAATAACTATTTATTCAATTTATCTCTTACTAAATTGCATTTTCAAACCTGATTTACTTTTTTATTTACTATTTTTTATTGTTTACACATTTGCCAGGATAAAGGTTTAGATGGACCTTTTTATCACACCCAGGTGTAAGCTTTTATAGAGATTATATAAAAAACTGTTGAATCTAACTGGAAATTAACAATACATCTTTTAAAATAATTAAAAAACATATGCTTAAAAATTTTATTAAGGTATTTAACAACAAAGAGAAATACTTCAGCTATGGATTTTCAAACAATGCAGTTTATCTTCGGATAAAGATGTCGTAAGAATTAACGCGATGGCTGGTTTTAGATGTTTTTCCCTCTATTTTCAATTATTGTTGTTAAAAAAATCTTGGCTTCACTGTTTTTTAGATATCGTTGGTGGACCTTTTTACCCGCAAACCTTTAAACCCCGATATTTCCTATAAATTTATAGAGCAATATTACTTGTGTTATTATCAATAACTTGTAATATAACAGGAAGTATAATTAAGGAAGTTGTCATACTCATAAGCAAATTTTATTTGTCGAAGTTTTTTTGCCGTTAAATTAAATGCATCGGAACTACCAATCATTTTGTACAACTGTATTGTTGAATTCATAAATACTGAATATTAAATTTTCTTATTATATTCAGCTTCATAAGCGAATGACATTGACATTTCGTGAGGCGTATAAAATGAAAGGCACTAAGCCACATTTTGAAATGTATTTATGTAGACACCTACCTATACAATTAAATAAATATATAAATATATATATATATATATATATATATATATATAAAAGCAAAGTATAAATCGCATATCCTGTTAGAACTTGTCAGCAATATATTATAATTATAGAAATGATTATGTAATTTCAATAATTTAAGTACTGTTTATAAAATCTGCACATGAGAAACATTTATAATTGATGATTTTTAGAATTATCAATAAACTGTCGTTGAGCTACTGAAAGTATTTAATCATATCGAAACAATGCTATTTATTTTGCAACATTTAATAAGTTGCAAAATTTTGATTTTATAGATATGATATAGTGAAAGTTTATGAAATCGAATTCTCTTATCTATCGATGTAAGTGGACTTACATCAGTTACATTAATAATAAAAATAACAATAGTCTATTGATTCACTCCGACTTACATTTCTCCAAAAATTAGTTCATGCATTATTTTTTTTGCCATTGCTTTTCAGTTGTTATATTTCTATAAAGCGAAAGAGCGGGGCTTAAAGATCCGCGGGTGAAAATGTCTACCACCATTATCTAAATCGTAGAATATTTATTAACTTCCCGAAGGAGAAGTTTATGTTTTCATCAAAAAATCCGAATTGCAAATTTGGAAAAAATATGTGTGTGTGTAAATCGACATTTTCTCAAAAACAGTTGGACCGATTTCAAAAATTTAAAAACCATTCGATGTATCTCGATGAGGTCTAGCGTTTCTTTTGTGCGGCGATCGGCCGAGCCGTTTCTTTGTAAATCGCAGAAAAGTGAAAAAGATTTTGTACACGTTTTAGCCCGCAATTCCGAATCGATTTTGAAAATTCAAAAACAGTTGGAAACATATGAAAGTTATAATTTTGACAAACGCCAAAAAAACGACACAAATTTTTGCTAATTTTGACGATTTTTTAAAATTAAACGACTTGTCGTAGGACCATAATATTTTAGTATGATCAATAAGACTACGGTATCTACCGTCAAAAAAAATTCGTGAAAATCGTCGAAAAGAATTTTTTTAACACGTTATTACAAGAAAACGGCCCGGCCTATCTTTACCAAAAACTAATCAGGTCGATTCCCAACCAATATATATTGGTTGACGATTGCTCAAAAATTTTTTGATTTTTGAACAAAATGACTTTTCTCGAAAAAAACTAATTTTGAAAAAAAAATGTTTTGTTTATTTTGAAATAATTTGAAATTTTTTTCAAGCAAATCGTATTGCTTTAGCTGCATAGAGACAAAATATCAAAGCGCGTAAGCGCCGCGTCGTCGTCTAATGGGCAAAGATGTTACCGAACTCATGGAAATGTAAACAAAATATTAAACGTATTATTAAAATCCTCATAAAATATTTAATAATTTGATATGCCTATGTCTAATGATCATTTTTGGACCCCTGCCTGTTGAAAATGCTTTTTGCACATAATGAAGATTGCCAATTATTTTATATGTACTTTGAAAAAGTAAGGCTTCTTCACAGGTTTGGTGATTTAACTTAACTAGCTATGGTTACTTCAGTTTCATAGATTTTCTTATTTTTGTAGCAATGCTAAGTAAGGGCTATTTTCACTTGGCAACATATTGCTACCTATATTTTCTAATAAAACCCGATATCACTATTGCTTGAAATCAGGCTGTATCAAAGTATCAAAACAGGTATCAAATATTGAAGTACCATATCTCTAACACTCTAACCACTATTCCGTCGGACAGGTGTTTACTATTAAAATACAATTCTGATTTTGAAAGTTAGTCCTTTGTCGTCATCATTTTTTCTTTTGCTTAATTTTGACTTTGTACTAAAAATGCTTTATCAAAGAAACAAATACCATTTATATGTGCATTCAGACCACGGGCAAGGTTGCATATTTTATATTATATTGAAAAAAAAATGGATTTTTGTTGACGAAATTAT